ATCATTGGCAAACATATTCAGTTTCTTTACAACCATGTTTAAAGACATAAGAAACACAAAAACATTAGCGAGTATTTTCATCTATAACTGAGGGCAGAAAAACAGACCAAAAATCTCTTTGGCTTAGTAATGTGCCTAAGATAACATGTTATTCAATAACTTTAAACAGTGCAATCAGAATGCCATTATGACTAAACTTGTCAGCAAGGAATCCATAAGCAAACAGCATGAATACTAAATGTCCGTCAAATGTGGATCACGTTGTAGGTCTTTATCAGCAGCGCTCAATTTACTGTAAAACATTACACAAAGTACTTACTACTTACTTGATAAACTAAGAAAATATCTACAGTGTAAATCAAGAGCACAGAGGAAGTATGTTATGCTCCTGCACAAATATTTTGTGATCTGCAGTCAAGATTACACAGGAAAATGAACTGCACAATGTGAGAATTCATGTGCATCAACACTTTAATGACCATTAACATTAAATTGAACCTAAAAGTATAACTGTTACATTCAAACTCATTTTCACTTTTTTTTTTTTTTACATGATAAATGCACAATTTTTTCACAACTTGGAATACAAACACAAAGTTACACAGTGTCCACAAGTCAGGGTCACAGTCAGAGTTCATGGCTATTTTCGCAACCTTCTGATTTAGCCCATGTTATTCTCTGGATGATATCAGAGCAATGGCATAACACTCTTTACTTTATCAACAACTCTTAAAACAGACATGAGATCTCAAAATTTCCAGCTTATCTTGGGGCCTCCCCCATGGAGTCGTTGACTGGAACAGTCAGTTAGAAGAAACCCACCTAAAAAAAAAAACCTGTTCCTCAGTAAACTGAGCCTTCACCCACACAAGGGGCGAAGGCTGATGATGTGAAGTGAAGTGGATATGCTGCTACCCACATGACATATGAACAGAGTATTCTCTTCATCTGTCTCAAGTAAGCTTGCTAGAAAATTAACAAAGAACACAGGGCATACACACTTTACAATGTTACTTCCTGGCACTAGACTTTATTTACTGTATACATAATGTTTGGCACACCCACACTATCTTGTGGAAGAAGGGGATTCTCATTGTACACAAAAGAGCAAAGAGCAAAAACAACTCTGACTCATGCACCACTTTGCTAAGAGAATAAGCACAAAAAGCACATTTTGTAAATGCAAACAGGCCTGCTGTACCCTATACCACCTCTAACCTCTTCCTTACTAACCCTCATGGGACATACAAAGCAGAAAGAAATCAAGATAGGAGAGAACTGTGGCTTTTAAAAAATAAAGCAATGTTTTCCATGACAGCCAACAGAAATGTCACAAAGATGAGACATACGTCTAAACAGTAAGCTTTTAATAGTTGTTCCTATTGGATTTATCCCGTGAATGGATGGTACAATGCTATTAGGTCAGCTTCCTCTATGACCCACTTCCCTCTTTCCTGTGCCGCCTCCTTTTCTACTCACTCTATCAGGCTGGCTGTCTCAACAAACACTTCTCCCAATCACTACTTTTTTTCTTTAGACAGCACATTTTTATTTAGTAGTTATCAAACAGTCTCTGTAAAACCAGGAAGAACAAAGCATCCACATATCAAATGCGGCCACTGCTGGCAGTTAACGTTCGCAAAATGCTTTGTGTCCATTTTCTCATCGTCTGTAAATATTAAGTCAACTAGAGGGGAACCAATCTGAAAGAGTCCTGAGATAATAGAGAAACATTTCCATTCACCTCAGGAGCTTTGTGGAATAAAGTGAATGGATACTCGTACTTCTATGTCCCCCTGCTGTGTAATTTTCTTTGAAAAACAGAAAGGCACCACAGCACAATGAAATCCATTATCTGCTCAAGTAAGATGATGCTATTGCGGCTGTGCCTGCCACGCAAACAAGAGTATCTGAATATCACATTCATGTCTGTGCAGGTAATTGCCACGGCTGACATTTAGAACTGCATTTCTTTTTCCCTTTAATGGGGGTATGAGTAATGAGTCAAATCTCACAATTACACAACCATCAGAACCAGAAAAGGAAATGCACTATGTAAAATAATACTACTTATAAAGTGAAAGTTTCCCAAGGGAAATAAAAGTTTAAGAGTGACATGATATGGCACTGCTTAAAGGCTAAAAAGGGACGATGTGCCAAATGAAACTGGTGCAGTAACATGAGTACAGAAACACTCTGGCAGCTTTCATGAAATGGGCACTGCTCTGGAAATAAGCCATCGTGTCTGAGAATAACACCCATTTTCAGCAGATGCTTGCAAATTACAGCCAGTCCCATATGGTAATTGAGAATGACTCAGCAGTGATTGTGGAGGCAGGCAGAGAGCAAATGTTCAACCTCATAACAGAGTCAACGATCCTCAGCACATGGCTCGTGTCTGATCCTGGGGACATAACCACTCTATATCACATGACTCAAAGCCTTGAAGGATTACCAAAGGAGACTTAAGAGTTTGAAGGAGAGTAATCGCACGACCTGTTGTAGTGAAAGTTAAAATCGATTATATCACCTAATGCCAAACTGAGAGTAACTAAAGGAAGGCCATACAATCCATGCACAATTCATTCAAATAATCAGATTTTGATTTGTTTGGTATTCATGTGGTTTCAGTTTGTCACTCACTTTTCCATGGCTCACACACATAAGCTCATTTGTTTCCAGGAACTATTCTGTTAAAAGTTACTCATGTGGCCCACATAACCAAATGAGCAAAATTTAACAGTAATTCATTCATTTTTATTTATTTTTTTATTCAGTAATTATTGTACTTGGCAGTACACAGGTCAGCAGGACTTTTTAGGGGGGACTGTAGATGAACGTAGCACATGTCAGAGAGAAATACCAAACATGCTTTTAAAAAAAAGCTTGGAAAACTGGCTAACTATTTTTTTAGATCCTGATTTTCCATAAACTCTGATATTATTCAAAAGATAAACACCAGAAATGTTAATTTATGCATTTCTGTTGTTTTCTCTGTCATCCTGACACCAGGATCATGCTACAAACCAAACAGCGTATTCTGTGTTTTGTTAAACCTCTAATGAATGTACAGTATACACATTTAGTAGGTTAAAAGTTATAACAATGTTTTTTGTTTTGTTTTTATGTCATAGAAAGCAAAGTGTGGCACTTTGTCACACTGACTCACTGAAACACATGAACCGACCACTCTAAACACAGCCTGTGCTTTTCCACATATGCGACATGGATCTGTCTGCTGTAAAACATACCACTTCCATGTTAAGTCAATATCTTAATAATATTATGACATCATCCAGCCAGCAATTACACACATCTGCTGTCAACGCCCTGCACTGTGTTCATAATTATACCTGGTTAAATACAATTTTTGGAGAAAAAGAACACAAGGACTTTCAAAAGCTTTCCCTAAAGATGCCTAAAAGGGCCTTGCTGATCTTTGAAGGACACTTTAACTCCAAGGACTCTGTGTTTATCCATCAGAGATTCTGTGTCAACACTTCACTACGTATGGAGCTATTCTAATCCTGTAAACATCTGCAGTCTTACCGAGGGAATAACAGAACTGATAAGCGTGGCTAAGTATAACTCTAATGACGGGCCACATACAGCGAGAGAAGAGGGCAAAGAGGATCAGAGAAAAGTCAAAGTCAAATCAAGTTCCTTGGCTCTATGAGGAACACACATGAAAACCTGCACAATGTGGTTGAGCATAAATGTCAGAAAACCAGAGATGTGGACTAAGTATAACACCCACAGCAGACAGGACTGGAAACAGCTCGTGTCTTAAAGTATAAGGAGTTGTGTAGGGCTCATCTTGCTTAACGCTTACGTCTTCATCCTCCACCTGTGATTTCTGGTATTACTGTATAAATAACACTTATCTGTGCTGTACATAGTGATTTTTCAGCATTTTACGATCCTGTCACCCTCGAGGTTGCACTTCAAGAGCGCTATGGTGTCTTTGAATGACTGCTACTCCCAGGATAGTGGGACAAATGTGTGATTTCACAAACAGCCACATTACAAAATACACTGACGCTGACAGTTAAGGCAGACCAAAGAGACACAGCAGTTTGGGTGGTCCACTCTTCAGCAGACGTTCAGCTGTTGTAGAGTGGAATCAGATTGTAAACACACCCTCAGCCAAGGTGGCGCTCCAGGATCCTAGCCAACAGGTGTCCAACGTACACACTCATGGATCAGCATGTGCGTTCGTGTTTGTGTGTGCGTGACCCTACCCTAACACCGGGCAAACCAGACTGATGTTCATCTCACTTACACTAAGGGCAATCGGTCACGCCTTATCCTAATGTGTACTGGCACTGATGCCACGGCGCTGTCCGCTGTCTGGCCTGTTATAGATCACAGCCTAAAATGGCACACACACACACACACACCTCATGGTAAAGACTTGAACTGTCAGCAACTACAGTCGAGGTATAAAAATATGAATATGAAGGCTCCACTGCACGGTCGCTTACAAAAACCCTGCTTGAATTTACACCCTTGTCTGCTGCATGTAACTTTAAGATCATCTATGAGTCATCTTCAGTTACCCTTTAATCCTGGCATGTCCATGAGCAAGGTATCTCAATGGTAAATCTCAAGGAAGCCAGATTTCCCTTTAAGCATCAACTATTTAGGTACCCAACAGGCTGTGAGACACTTGTCAAGCAGCAGTGCTCCAGAGTAGCTACAAATTCCAATTTCTGTTTGTATTATGCAATAAAGAACATTCCTATGGTACACAAAAGACTTATCATCCTTATTCACGATACAGTGACTCTTTCACGGCATGTTATGACTGTGGAGGGTGTTGTTGGAAAGCATGGCCTCTTCTGCCTCACAGATGAAGACCAATTCACATCTTTGAAAATAAGGGCTCTGTAGGCACACATACTGGAAACAATTTCTATCGTTGTCACGTCATTTCACAGCTAAAAACAAGACTTGTGTAAGCTAATACGGACTGTCCATTGGACTGTCATTAGACTTACCTAAATGATGCCGTGTTTATAGCCTCGTGGTTGGTTGAGGGAACAGTCTACTTGTTCGTTGTCTTTTAAACAACATGATGTTACAAAGTGAGCGGCCGAGAAGAGGTAGCAAGTCCTACAGTTTGCGTTTGAAGCTAGCCCACCGCGGAGATGCACTGGTGAAGTTAAGGCTAGCCCGTAGCCTGTAATCATAACACAAGTTCAACGGTTATCGCTACAGCCGATGCATCACAAAGAGTTATTTGTACTAAACAAATCAGCAAGCTTACACTAAGTGCTTGAAGAGAGCTTATAAATAAATAAATAAAAAATCGTCTTTCTCTTTAGTATTTCCAGCATACCGTTAAAAACAGCCCGAAGCAACTGTACCACTATCCGTGAGTTACACTGACAGCAAACATCGACCAACTGATGATACCGACACTGAAAACGGGTCGTCCGCAAAGCGGCAGGCGAGCTTTAACGACAACACGGCCATGTGGACCGAAAGAAATCCTCACACGAAGCAACACCTGGGCTTGTAAATAAACTAACCACAGCAGGAACCCCCAGCACAGTTCAGAGTACAGACGGAGTCTCCCCCCAAAGCGCCTTCTCATTCGACATCCTCCCCTCGCTTTCGAGGGGGCGGAGCGTGTAGATGTCACCTGGGACTTTGCACGCTAATCTGCAAGCTTGGGTTACATCTCTCTTTTGTTAGGTGTTACTGAAGTCCTGTGACTCAATTTCTGTCTCTGGCATTAATTTAATTCGCTCTTATGAGTTTATATTAAGTTGTAAGCTTTCAAATAAAAAGTAAACTACAGCTTGGTAGACCCACGTGTGACGTCAGACCCATAGCTGAGCGTGCAGGGCTGTGCTAAATCTGTGGGCGCTAATTTACTAGCCACAAAGGACATTACGTTTGCACCAATGACTGTAGAAAACAGTTTTCTACAGTCATTGGTTTGCACACTATTAAAACCTGTCTATTACTATCCACTTGTAGGTCTAACATGTTTTTTTGAATAGAAGCTGGGGTTATACTAGTTTATTCTAACAGCCTGTGGTTTGTTACTCCTTGAACTCTTATACCAAAGGAGGAGATAGAAGCCACTGACATAAAGACAAGAAAGCTCCTTACCATGCATGGAGGGTTTCACCCCAAGTCCAGCACCCTGAGGCTGTACGCTAAGCGGAAGGAAGGGGGCCGGGGACTGGTGAGTGTCAGCACCACAGTCCAGGATGAGACAACGAACATCCAAGAATACATTGGGAAGATGGCCCAAACTGACCGAGTGCTCAGTGAATACCTCAAGCAGCAGAAACCCAAGAAAGAGGAGGGAGACGAGGAACCATCATGGAAGGACAGGCCCCTGCAC